GGGGCAGTGTTCTGAGTGTTCTGAGTTCTGTTGGCCCTGGCCCAGATGTCTGTCTCCACAGGTGCCACCATATCTGAGCTCCTGTACCAGGCTCGAGGTTGCACGATGAGACTGGGAAACCTGAACACCTATCGTGGCTCTGCCTGAGTGCGAGCGCCTGGCACAGGCCTCTCATTCCATATGATACAAGGGTTCCACGGAATCTGCCCAAGTCCCCAGTACAAGTCCAGGTCCCCCCGATGCCGGGCCAGTTCCAAGGCCAGGGTCCCCCTCTTCTATTGCCCCAGAACCTGACCTGCAACCCCTGCCCTGTCAGCCGTCTGGGCTTCAGTTTTCTGAAGCCTGTAAGAGTTTTTGTCTTCTGGCTCTGAACCTCAAGGACCCCACGATTCCATTGGAGATGTACCCACAGCCCCTATGCCCTAAGCCAGACTGAGATGCAGATAGGCACAGCCACGGCCCCACTCCCGCCAAGGCCACTTCAGGAACTCCCAACCTGGGGGGTCTGCAGCTCCAGAGCTGCCTCTCCACCCCGAAGGTGGGCACAAGACAAGGTTCTAAAATTCCAGTTATTGAAACTGCAAATCTCCAGAAAGTCTGACACTAGAACACTTTGATTCCTTCCACTGTAAGTAAAGGTGCCCCTGCCCTCTGCCTCCCAGGGTCTCACACCATCCTGCTGGTGTGGCCCTGACGCTGCCAGCCTTTGAGCCTTCACAGGGCCGCCACGCCGCACCCTTCCCGCTCCCAGCTGTCCTCCCACCACCACCTCTGTGCCAAGTCCACCTGCTCTCTTATCTGCTCCCCATCTGCACTCACTCACTAGTGACCGCCCCCAGAGTGGGGCTTCAGGCTCCACTATGTGCTGGCAACTTCCAATGTGCTCTCAAGCCTAACTGGACCCCCTAAAAGCCAGACCTGAGATTGCACCTGCTACCTGGAAAAAGGCATCCTAGTTAATACACCCAATACCTCTCCCCTTGTGGATGTCTGTCATGGCCACCCCCGTCCTTCCAGGTGCAGCTCAAATTTCCAGGGATCTCCTGGGACTCCTGTACATCGTCACACACAACCCATCAGATCTGCAGCACCTGTGGTCTCTCCTGGGTCATCGCCAGGACCCCTGACAGGTCACTGACAGACAGCTTGCTCCCTGCCCCAGCTGACACAGGCCAGGTCTGTCATTCACCCTATTCAAATACGCCAAGGGACACCTCTATCTCATTCAGACAAGAAGGTCTGTGTGACCCACAAGGTCCAACCTGGGCTATTCCATCTGCCTGCCAATCGCTTGTGACAGCGTCATTGTCCCCGAGAGGGCTCTGTCCTGCCCTTCCCCAGGAGGAGTGCCACCACCCCATCCCAGGCCCAAGTCCGGGTTTTTGCTCAGCTGCCCCATCTCTGAGTAGGTACACCTGTCCACCCTTGGAGTGGTGGTCCCTGGTGACCACTGGCCAGCTGCCTGCAAGTGAGGCAACCTCCTCCACAGGTTGAAAGACAGAGGTGAAAAAAATCTCTATAGGTTAGAAAAAGAGGGTTTGCACCCTGTGCTCTCAAGAGCTATCCCCACTATCAAGCACATGAACGAAGGACTTGGGTGTCTGTTCAGACAGCCTAGGTTCAATCCCTACTTTACTGTGTGACTTTATTGGTTTCTGTGACCTCTCTGGGCCTCAGCAGCCCCACCTAAAAAATGGGAATCCCCACAGCTCCACGTGTACAAGGAGAACTCAAAGGGCTCACCAGAGAAGAGAGCTGAGTGCTGGCACAGTGACCCCCAGTGTGTGACTGTTGTGATAAGAACAATTCTCTCCATATGTGACAGCATGCATGAGCCTTGTGGGGCCTGGCAGGAACAGCAAAGCTCTGTCTCGTCATCCTCCACGATGACGGTCTTGACTACTCATTACATGAGGCTCACGGGGCCAGGAAAGGATGGGAGAAGGACATCTGGGACTGTCAGCATGGCTCTGGCGCCTGACAGCGACACTCTCAGGCTGACCTACCCCACGTCCCACACCCTGACCTCCCTCTCACCTTCCTGGGATTGGTCTGAGTTGTTGAACATGTTTGGAGAGGCCAGCTCGGGGGCCACCTCCCGGGCATTGATCACTTCAGCTTTTCCTGCAAGGAGAAACAGGTGAGCAGGTCACAAGAAAGCCAACCCCGCCCCTGCTGAGCCCGGGGTGAACCCAGGGTTGCCCCAGCCCAAGCGCAGCCTGTGGTGGCTGCCATCGGCCGCCCGCTCCCTGCAGCACTCACGCGTCTTGCTGTTGTAGATGGTGAGGAACAGGCCACCGCCAATGCCCATGCTGTGGGCGTTCATGAGCCCAACACACAACAAGGCCGCGATGGCAGCGTCCACTGCTGAGCCGCCATCCCGCAGTGCATCCCTGCCGGGCGCAAAGGGAGGGGTGATACCCTTCCGGCTCCCTGCTGGGCACCACATTGCCACTCCACTCCCCCAAAGGCAGATGGGCGAGGAGTCCCTGGGAGTTGTTTTTTCCTTTTTTTTTAAGATTTAGTATTTATGCATGTAAGAACTGGGGTATAGACCAGAGGTGCAGGGGTGAGAGGATTCACCAGAGACAGAGTGGAGAGCACAGCAGGCCGACTGACAAAGTACACTGCTGAGGGGAGCAGCGGGTGGGTCAGGAGAGGTCTGCCGCGCCATGTGGGTCACCTCCGGGGCCGGGAATCCAACTCATGCTTCAGTGGCTGCGGATCACTTCACAGTGCTGTGCTTTAACCCACTTCACCACCAGGGAGGGCCCTGTTTATTTATTTATTTATTGCCATTATTATTTTTTTAAGATTTATCTATTTAGCATATAGAACTTGGGTACAGGCCAGAGGTGCAGTGAGAGGCCTCACCAGAGACAGAGCGGGGAGCAGAACAGGCAGACAGATGAAGTACACTGCTGAGGGGAGCAGCGGGCGGGTCAGGAGAGGTCTGCCCCGCCATGTGGGTCACCTCCGGGGCCGGGGATTGAACTTGCGCTAAAGTGGCTGCAGCTCACTTGCAGTGCTACACTTTCACCCACTGCACCACCAGGGAGGGCCTGTTTATGTTTATTAATATAACTCTCAAGCCAATGAGCTTACTTTCCATTTTCTAAATAGAAAATTGTTCCTTTTTTCTAATAAATTTTTTGGGGTCTTTTAAGTGCCTTTTGATCTTTGCATATGTGAGCCGGTTGTACCAAGAGAAACCCCACGTCAAACAACCAGGTTTAATCCAAAGAGACAGGCACTTTAGAACTGAGACAAGGGGTCTCCTGGGGCAGGGCACCGGAAGACCACACCCCGCTCCTAGGATCAGTGCTCCCTGACCCTGCAACTAGAGACTCCCAGGAAAGGACAACCCCCTGTGCAGGCAGCCTGCTTGTATGTGGGAAGTCTTGGCAGTCAAGGGGCATGGACAGGCTCACTTACGTAGTTATCCCAGGCCTGTGTCCCCACGCCCTGCCCCACAGAGATGTCCGCACTCACCTCCCAATCTCGGAGCAGTGCTTGGCATCAGCAGCCACAGCCGCCCTGGGGTACACGTGGTCGGGTGACTTGGAGGAGGGCAGCCAGAGGGACAGGCCGATGATGAGGAACACCAGGACCACGGACACCAGGACCAGCGCAAGGCCCCTCTTCTTCATGGCTCTGAGGGCACGGGGGTGGGAAGTGGGGGGGACACAGGGAGCAGGTTCAAGGGCCCACCACTGGCCCACCCCTTACACACATCCTGACCCCCATCACATAAGGAACAGCCCAAAGTCCAGCGCAGCAACACCTCCCTGAGGTCTCCAAGCTACCTAGAACATGTTTGAGCTGTCCAGACATTTGCTCAGGTCCCTCTCTCTGCCAAAAGTCCTGGCCCAGCTCAGCTCTCCCAAGTCCTCCCTGCTTCCCCTGAGAGCCCCAGCCCAGGAAGGTGTCCACCCCAGCAAGGAGCCCCTGGGAGGCCCCGATTTCAGAGATTGGCATCCTCAAGTGGCTTAGCCCTCTGCTGCCAAGCAGGGCTCCTGTGGACCAGCTCACCTGATCATTGTCTCCCACCTCATCTGAGAGCTTAGCATCTTCCCGGGTCCCCCAAAGCAGCTTCCATAGAGCATGGGATTCTGCTTCTGTCACACCATCAAAGGGAGCACCCGCAGTCTTATCTGAAGTGCTCAGATCACAGAGCCAGGCCTACCTTCTGTGTGCAGATGGAAGCCCAGAGCCTCACCTGGGGAGGTGGCCACGCGAGATGGGCGACGGAAAGGGCTGGTAAGATGAGTGGGGTCTCCCTCACACTCTGCAGGAGTCTGTGGCCCCAGAATCTGCTCCAGAGAGACACCTTAACCACACAGCCTCCTCTTGTCTCCTGGAATTGAAAGGGTGGACCTAAAGCACACCTCCCCAGCCCTCCCCAGGGAGTGCTGTGAGGTTTCACTACCTCCAGAACTCCAGAGAGGAAGAGGAAGCCATCAGCACTCAGTTGACATGAGTTTGCTCAGAGCTGCTTCCAGACTATAGCTGAGAGAGGGTGAGCTCACAGCAGGGCCGGGAGGGCAGTGTGCGAGCCGCCCCAGTACGTGCTGGGCCAAGGTGGTGACGTGCGCGGGCACCAGAGCAGCCTGTTCCGCCTCAGCCTGGATGTGCTGCCGGCCTGCGGTGGGGCTTGAGCAAGCCACTGACCACCGGTCCTCTCGGAAGGGTGAAGATTTAGTGTGCTGGAAAGTGTGAGATGCTAAATAAGAGTTGGCTGCAGTTAAATCTCACAGCTACACTGTGCCCGGGAGGCTGGGCCTAGGGAAGCTGGTTGACCTCCTGTGGATTCCCTTCCGGGCTGTGTGGGGAAGGACAGCGGTGATCTCGGGATCCCTGCCGATCTCGGGATCCCTGCCGTAGAGGCAGAGAGGTGTGATGACAGGGGCAGGGGTTCCCGCCTCCCAGGCTCAGCTCTCTGCAAAGGGTATGTCTGCTGGCAGGCCTTCCGGTAAGCTCCAGGCTGGTCTGGACCACTTTGACTTTTCTTGTCCCTGTTCAGAGGGTCAGATCCCAGAGCTACATGCATGTCCAAAAATAGTCTCACTCCCTCCCCTCTGCGAGGAGCATACCTGCATGGAAGGTTTTACACCTCCCAGAGCTCAACCAGAGTTCCTGTGGCAGACCACTATTCCAGTCCCCACAGGATCACAGCAGCCCCTCCTCTCCACTTGACCAAACACAGGCACCCTGGTTCTGCCCTGGACTCCCACAGCCCTACCCTGCTCTCCCTCCTACCACCATCACTTGCTCTTCAGTCCTCCAAAAAGCAGTCAGAGGGCTCTGTCCAAAGTGCCAGGCAGGCCCTGCCCTTGTCTCCTGCCCTCTGCCCTCTGCCAGGCCTGGCACCCCCGGGTCCTGGCAGGGATGCCAGGTCAGGGTTAAGGGTTCCTGATAGAGACAGCTGTGCTGGGAGGTCCAAGAGGCCTCAGGAGCTGGGACACCAACATGCAACATCAGTTCCAGACAAAGAACTTGCCCATCCCATGGGGCAAAGCAAGATGGGACCAGGGTTAGTTCAGGCACAGACCCATCCACCAAGGTGGCACCCCCAGTCCCATTCACTGGGTCAGGCCATGCTGGAGTGGCCCCATTGCTCCCAGGCTTAGCTCCATGAACTGAGACTCCCCTTAGACTGCTGGGGTGGGGGTGGGGTGGAGAGATCCATGCTCCAGCCTCCCCGGTGTCCCTCCATCCATCTAAAGGCTCCAGATGGGTTCCTGAGAAGCAGGTTCACCCAATGAAGCTCAGACTGCCAGCGGATGTCAGGCGGGAGTGAGCCACACTGGCCTAGCAACACCACCATCTCCTCCCAGACCCTTTTCCAGCAGGAAAGCTGGCCCAGTCACTGTCCCTGCCCTCCTCCCCCATCCCGGATCAGTCCCCAGAATTGAGGAAGACACCCTGCTGGGGAACCAGGCTTCCGTTTTCCTCCCTCACCCCACATTTTTTCAAGGGCTCACTAAAACAGTGTATAAGCCAGAGGCCTGGCTCTCACCCAAGTCAACATCAGGAGGGGAAACTTAGGCCAGAGAGTGGGTCAGACACGGTGCTTGGCCTCAACCCTTGGCTTCGCTCCTTGCGACCCTGGTGGGCTTACCTGAGGCCCAGGGAAGCCTGCGTTCCTCAGACCTCAGCTCTAGGATCAGGCATGCAGGGGAGGAAGAGGCAGATCTGTCTGCCTGGGAAAGTCTCAGCCACAGTGCCGGCTGCCCTCCCCCCACAACCCCGCCCTCCCCATCCCCCATTCCCAGAGCCACGCCTGCAGAGCTCCTCAGGAGGCCTCCGGGATGGAGATCCAGGGGTGGGCACCTCCCAGGAGAAGCAGGGGCAGGAAAGGGGCAGAAGAACTCAAGTGTCCACCTAGTCCCAGGGTGGGTGAAGGGCTGGCTAGGGGCCACCCACCATCTCTGTGACACAAGTGGAGATGTCTGAGTGAGAGGAAAGTAGGCAATCTCTCTGAGAGGTCCAGCCTGTCAGGAAGGACTGCGAGAGACTGATGTCAAGGAAGCAAAGTAGCAAGGGACTTGCCTGTCACCAGGTGATTAAAGTTCATGAAGCCCTGGGAGAGCCCTGGGCAGTCTAGGAAGGGGTGCTGAGAGCCTAGGAAGGGGCTCCTCTCTCCAGACTCGGTCCCCTCCAAGGTGAATGTCCTCTAGCACAACCCTCCAGCAACCGGCAGGTGGGGCCCCTCACTGGCTCGCCCTGTCCTGTTCAGAACCTCTGAACTGTGAGGCCAGACACAGTGTCCCAGAGATGGGGTGTGGTTAGCATCAGACCAGAACTGGAACCTGCAAGGCGTCACCACATTTGGGAACTGGACATGAAGGGTGGCTTCCTAGAACATGGCCTGAGGCCTGTCTTCCCAACCAGTTCCACCACTTACCCAAGAATGTTAGTGCCCCAAGGCCCAGGCAACTACCTGAGCATCCTGGAAAGGGAGGGCCAGTGAAGGTCAGAGCTGGCCCAACACAGGCCACCAAGTTGCTGTGTGGCCCTGATCTGCCCACCAAGGAGGTCCCAAGCCAGGAGCAGCTAAAAATCCCACCCAGGGAAACTTGGACACCACTCTCCACTATCCATGGCCTTCATCTGCCAAGGACAAGAGTCTACCAAATCTTGGGTCACATCTCCCTCCGCAGCTCCCTGGTCCACTGCCTCCATCTACAACACTTACTCTACAACCTTCTTGAAAGCTTATGCCATCTGATAGCAGGCTGCACGGAAGCTGACCAGATACTGCGGCCCATCTGGGCTACCCTGCCAAAACAGGCCTGTCCTGTCCTCTACTGCCCTTGAGCAGGCTTGGGGTAGAACCCACCTAATGCGCTCCCATGAAACCCTCGACACAAAACGCAGGAGCAATGAAGAACTCTCTCACTGGACATTGCTCCCTAGCCCTGCAGACCAAGGTGACTGGGAAGATGGACAAGGCAGGAGGCAGGGGCTGAGTCCTCAGGACCTGACCACAAGGGCTGGCCGCCAGTCAGGAATGTCAGGGGACTTGGCCCCGTCTATGTGACTGTATCGCAGGGCAGTCTGCTGGGGGGATCGGTAGAGGAGAGTCACGAGGCTCTGTCTTTCACTCAAGCCTACTGAGCAGTTTGCCCCCTGCCTGGGTTGGCTCCAGATACAACAGTATCAGCAGGACAGGAAGAAGGTCTGGGGGTCCGAGGTTTTGCAGACCTAATCAATGAGCCCAACAATGAGCTAGAGTAAAGTTGGAGCAGAGAGGCCCATGATGGGACACTGATAAAACCTAGCAGCAGTTGTTGGTTCCAGGGATGGGAGACAGAAAGGAAGACCTCACGTTAAAGGCTACATCAACACTTCACATTAAAGGCTATGTCAACAGAGGCATGACATACGGAACAAAGGCCTTTCCTCATACGGCAGACATGTCACATGCTGTCCCAGTCCGCCGTCCCCACCACTCACTTCAGTTGCAGAGAGGAAACCCACGGGGGTGGATCTGGGGAAACTGTTTCACCCCAGGAAAGTTGCTGAGGTGGGGGTGGGAGACTACAGGTCTCCTCCAGACCCCATGGCTCCTGTCCGCGGGAATATGCAAGCCTTGCCATCAGCACACTCCTGAGCTGAGTGGAGGCTACACAGAGCAAGTTCGCAGGCGGCAGCAGAAGGGAGCACAAGGAAGAGGAAGACAGCAGTCTGGCGTTGATCTGTTAATCCAACCCAGCCCAGTGGCTGTGTCACTTTAACCCCAAATCCACAAGGGTGAAACCAGAACGCAGCCCCAAGTTCAGACAGGAAAACGAGGCTTGGATGGAAGCCACTTGCTCTGGCTGGTTCCAGGAAGTTAGCCCATGGACCAGCCCGTGGGCCCGGGGCTCACCCCTTGGCCCACCACCGCCAGTACCTAGCAAAGAGTCACCTTCTTGAGGACGAGAGACGCTCTCCTCAGCATCCCCAGCCCTGCCTGCATCCATGGCTGCAAATTCTGTGGGAGCTTGGGTTATCCTGTGTCTCAACTATTCTGTATCTGCCTTGGTTATTCTTAGCTTCGTCTGTTCTGTGCCTCTCAATGTGCAGAAACGGGGAAAGTTGGTAAGGAAACTTTCAGGGCAAAAGTTTTGGTATGAGGATCTATCCATGCTGAAAACAGCGTGCGCAGAAATAGCAATAGGTGTTATGGTGAGAGCAGCATAAACACTGAGACCTTCCTTGAACTTTCTCCCAACTTCCCAGCCTTGGCTGGGGCCAGCCGTTTACACGTCCCCCACAGACTTGTGTGTTCCCCGTTTGCCTGCTTGCTTCTTTGATCTTTTTTATTTTCTGTTTGATGCTAAATAAAAACGAGCCTGCCCTTGGGGCTGGGCTGCACCTCGTGGAGTAGTCCCTCCAGGCTTCTCACTGTTGCGCACGTCACACGTGGACTCTGAGTAATACTTTCATCCTGCCACCCCACGTCATGCCACAAATCCAGCTACCCACTCTCCCTCGCTGTCCATCCTGGTGGCTGAGGGTCGAAAATTTGAAAAAAAAAAACTTCCACAAAACTAGGATGTCAAAACAGTTGGGAGATACATGGTGTGACCGCGAGATGGCGGGCGCCCCCTAGGGTTGTGCAACGACTCCTTGCACAACAGACCCTGCTCCGCCCCCAGCACAGACACAATCAGAGACCCAAGAAGGACAGGCATGTCCCAGGACACAGCACTTCAGCCCCCATCACAGTTTCATTCCACAATGTGC